GAAAGTGCCTTTAACCCTTGAAATGTTGTAGGACATTGCAAGTCACAACAAAGTGAATATATTCCTTTGAGTGAACATAGGTTGCTCTTAAGTGTGGTGAAAACTCCAACATCCAAAACCAAGAAGTTACAGTTAGGACTGGTAAATACATATCTGTTAGCTATGGTAGGGGACAACAGTAAAAATATGACCATTAAAATATGGTTAGAAGTTACTCAATTTGGCCAAAAAAGGGAGGAAAATCCTGGGCAGATATGCTTGGACTTGATCTGTCCTGATATCTATGGGCTGGATGTCAAAAACTGGACTGGGCTCTGTTTAAGGAAAAAACAAGCACACATACACACATCAGTTGTATTTAGCATAACCCAGAGGACCTGCTTCCAGCAAAACTCTCTTCACCATCAGTGCTGGTGTCTCTTTGGTAGACATTGGAGACACTGCTTATGTGCACCTTCTCCAACATGTCTTTTCAGGTGCATGCCAAATCCACCTTAGCCAGCCCTAAACACCTGTGCTGTCATGGATATGACGCTGGCTCTGCTTTAGAGACTATATTTCTCACATTCAATTTGGTGATGCGGCATGTTTTTAGAACCAAGCAATTTTTATAATGGAAAGAACAAAGGCAAGAAGTTTTATACACAGCACCTTTGTAATATAAACACATGCATATTTATTCAAGCATAAAGGAATATGGGAAGAAAAGACTGGATGTATTTAATAGCAAGCAAGCTACAGGGTGAGTTTCTACGACTTACTGGTGTAGACGGTCACAGAATTTCCATCTCCTTTAGTTGTGTTATCTGGTGCTAGTGGATATATTGTGAAGTTATAGAGTGTACCAGGTTCTAAACCTGTAATTACAGCTTCCGTGATTTGGGGTCTCTCAGGCCAGAGAAATGAACTTCCATCTTTGAAAATCTCTATCTCATAGGTATAGTTACCAGCAGCTGAATCATTGTTCTCCCAGGTTAAATTCACTTGATCTGTGCTGATAACTATGGCCTGGATGGCAAAAACTGGACTGGGCCCTGTTTGTGAAAACACAAAGCATATATACATACATATATATAACACAAACACACACACAGAGTACATACGTCCTGTGGTATATAGAGTAACTTCTGTGCTAAATTTCTGGCCTGGATGTCAAAAACTGGACTGGGGACTGAGCAGGCCAAATAAATGATATAGCAAAGAATTGGTGTTCATATTGATATGACGTATTATTTGTTTGTGACCTTTGACAAACTTTTACCTTTTGAAAAATACTGTAAAATAACTAGGAGAAAAAGATAATTTAGGACTTTCCTATGTTCTGCAAGTTACCTATGAAAGATGCTATTCAATGGGATAATCTACTTCAGTAAAATGTTTGGTAAACCTATCCTAAGGCCCTCCATTTTTATTCTATGAGGGCGATTTTTCTTCCCAGCAATGAAATAATAGGATCTTCTTTCTAGTCATAAAATGACCTCTCTCCCCATTTTTTTTAGTTACATTCATAATTTAGTTATATATGTAGGTACGTTTATTTCTTTGACTGTTATATAAATATGCTTCATTTCAGTAACTTGAGAGTAAGATTTTGTGATTAAGGTGAGTCTCAAGAGACAGGAATCACTTCCCAGCTGCTACACTCTTCTTGCGTCCACTTGAGGAACAAAAACAATGAGTAATCTTCTCTGTGCAGATGTCTATTATCTATTTAGATCACAATTAATCTAAGGCAAGGACTATCTCTTACAAAGCATACCTATAGCATCTACCACAAAGTGGACCTGGGATTACTAGATGCTATCCTAATGGAAATAATAATAGCTGATTTCAAGTATAATAGAAACATTATTAAAAGTTGCTCAACAGCTGAATACACTCCTCAGCATAATCAAAATCTAAGCTATCATTAGAATTTTTTGCTAAACTTTGAAAGAAATATATGAATGAAGCTATTCATTAACACATATATTGTTATTATGATAGATATGCAAAATGTTGAGTTCACATTCTTAGGAGCTCACACTGAATAACAGCAATCAATTCACATCCCAAAACTAATTATCAGCCAGAAACTTAGAAGAGAGCACCCAGTTTACAACAACAATAAATTACATTCTCACACTAAGTTATATGGGGTTTTTAGTAGGTTTTTGTCTCCTAAAGGAACTGGTGGCAAAGTAGCTTGCTCCATTTTCAGAGCTACCACACACTAAAAGAGACCACATGGGATGTTAGTGAGAAGCAGCTAGTGCAGTCTAAATTCAGTGCTTGGCAAGAGAAGCTTTAAGTCCTCTATACAGACAAGCCCAAAGCAATTAAGGACATAGGCACCAACTTTGGTTTTTTCTGGTGGGTGCTTTATTTTTATTTTTTGGTGTGTTTCCATACCGAGCCCCATGCATGACCAGAATAGGCAGGGCATTACTCCAACCTAGCTTGCACAATGTGGCTCATGGGTGCTGAGTACCCACTAATTTTTTTTCAGTGGGTGCTTGAGCGCTGGAGCACCCACGGATTTGGCACCTATGACTAAGGCCAAAATCCACATCTACCAATACTTTACCAAAGCCTTCAAGATGTTGCTAAGGCCTCGGCCTAAAATTTCTCATGATTCGCATGTAGACATTCTGCTCTATCAGGCTGCATAGGATTCCCAGGTCCTAACAAAGAATTAATTCACTTTAAGGAAAACTGCTTAGGTGACTCAGAGAAACTAACCACTCTGAAAGCCAAATTTCCTGACACTGCAAGCAATCCAAATCTAGCACTTTGGAAGTAGTACTTATATCAGCCTAGACAATCAGATCCCTCCCTCCCTCCCTCTGCGTCTTTCTTTATATTCATATATGTACAAGTAATCTGTCATGTTCCTCCAATGTAACACCTCCTACACTCTGTTCTAAGCCCTAAAAGATGTGAAACAACACATATAACATTCAGCCATACAGATCAAGAAATGTAAGGGAATCTAATTTGATTTCTTTCTAAATAATTGTTACACTGTAGAAATGACTGAACTTGTATGGTGCAAGACGGGAAGAGAATACTGGAATATTTAAGGAAGAGTACTGGACCGTCTAAGGATCTAACCTGGGCAAAACTTCAAAAAAATGAAGATTTAGCTAAAAATAGAGAATGTTAACTAATAATCTAGTAACAGTCCTCAACAAGAAAGCAATGAAATAAATCTCTCATACATTAGTAACTTTTACTGGAAAAATGGGTATAACAAAAAACAAAACAAAGTAAGACAGTTGAAGGCTGTTTGCTAAACGGCATGGGGAAATCAGAAAATAATCCTCCATCCAAGCCCTGGAAACTTAATTTCTTTGGCTCTGAGGCAAGAGAAGGTAAAATAAGTTACTCAAAAGCCTGATAGATTTCACTCGCTTTCTTGGAAAGATGTTGCAGGTATGAATGATCATTTTACACTGGTATACCAGGGTAACAGATTTTTGGGCCACATACATGGAGGCCAGAGGGAATCTTGGTCTTTACCCTGTTAGTTATGACAATATCTGAGCACTGTTTTTTCAAATCAATCTTTTTAAAGTTAATATCCCAAATCAAGTAGTGACAAGCACTTGAATTTAAGTGTCACATCTTAGCTATGTGAAAGTTCAGCAAATTAGGAAGCAGAGGTGAATTGACAAGAGTTCATTGTATTCACAGCTAGATGAGACTCAGTGACTTGCTCGAATTGTCGCTTGCGAGTGCTCCTGAATCTCAAATTTCAGTATCTAAGCTGATGAGCATCCAGCTCATACCATCTGAAATTTCATTTTCAGGGAGGCTCCTATCCTGCTTCGCAGAATCAGCACTGACATCTTCTCTCTCTTTTTCATATTGCTATATGTAACCTGGATGCTAGAAACTGGAGTAAATTCTGTTTAAGAAAAACATAGTAGTAGTTAATTTTTAGGACTGAAGGGATACATGCATATGACAATGGTATTTTCCTACTAGGATATTATATATTTGAGATTCAGCTGTGAGAAAGAGAAAGCGGGACCTATTTGGGATCAGTCTCAGAGGACAGTTTCTGTCACTTTTACAGAACCACTATGATTTTAACTGTTGCTGGTAGAGATGAGAAACCAAATAACTGACAAGGGCACCTCTCTGAATGTTACTTACTACCTATCTAAATAGGTTGATGAATGAATAAATTTCCTTAGAGGATAGAATTATTGTTTTTTGTATAATGCAATCCATACAAACGTAGCTATACAGAACTTCATGGAACTCTACTTATGTAGAAAGAGCTCTTCAGAGCTAGAATTTTCTCTAGGAGAGTCACTAGTAGTGGGTGACTGGGCATGATCCCCAAGTGCTATTATAAAGGGGGCACCAGAAGGGACTTAAAGTGAGTGCTGTCCTACTGTGCCACCAAATCCATGGCTGTCCCTTGCTGGTGGTGACTAAAAATCAGCAGCACTTGGGGCTCTGGACCAGCCGTGCTGGTGGCGAAATTGGGGGCTCGCATCACTAGTCCTGTCATCAGCCTCTGTCCCCTTGTCAATCTCATGGTGCTCTGGAGATGCCACTGCTGTGGGGAAAGGTAGTGTCACGACATGGCCAACATCCAGGGGGTTAACACAGACCCCCTACTGCAGCTGCTGCCTTTGTAGCAAGGCTGTGGGAGGATAAGCCATAGCATGCCTACAGCAGGGGGCCATACCCAATGGCTAATACCTAGCAGCTGCCCACTGTGCTGGTACCTCACCCAGTAGCAACTGCCCAGGGCACAAACCTTATCAGCTACGCTTCTGAATCCATGTATGGCTTCATTACTGATTATACCTGATTAAAGGTTCAGATCTTCAATCCTTCAACAGTTAGAGAGTGAAATTTGCTGGCTAACAGATTAAATGATGGAAGTAGTCAGCTGCTGCACATTTTTTGTTTAAGCAAAACATGAAGTCATAGCAGGACCATAGCGATTGCACCCAAAGTAGGTGAAAACCGCTATATAACATTGCTTCTTGAGAAACTTTGAGAGAGGCTTTTCAAGTTTCCCACCAATGTTTTGGTTCATGTAGCATGCTCCTACTTGTGTTGAAGAACCTGGGACTTAAAACCCGCAATATGGCAAAAAGATACTAAATTAAATACTTAGAATATAGAAATTACTGTATATTTAGAAGGAAAAAAAACAATCCTAGGAAGGTTGCCTAACCCTGTGCTGTACAGGGAAACTATACAAGAAAGAATGGCAAGGTAGAGGCATAACTGCCCAGGACTGCACCCCTGGCAATGCCTCCTGCAACCCTCCCTTGTACCTTCTTCACAAGGTTCTGGCTCAGGAGGCTCTGGCAGCAGGGTGGCAAACAGGAGCACCAATGATGAAGTAAGTTCACCAATGATGAGCTAAGATGTAACCTTATTTTTTCTAGCACCCAACCCCATTGCGCAGTGCCCAGGGCTTGTGCTCTCTTACCCATCCATCCTTATGCTATTGGGCAAAGGGTCCACACTAATACAGGCAGTGGCTAAAAAAGCCCACAGAAAAGCTCAAGGAGAGGGAGCAATTTGATCTGACACCCAGATGATATAGTTGTTGCATTGGCACTGTATTTCTGCCCCATGATGTGGCCCTGACTTTTCCTTCCTGCACAGCTCAGAAATACAAAATTCAATTGCTTAGACTTCAAGGCAAGAAAAGGGAAACAGGTTACTCAGAGGCCTAGTTGCTTGCACTTTCTTTCTTGGAAAGATATAGCAGGTACAAAAGGACTATGTCATACTGCAGTTATAGGGAACTGTTTTTGGTTCACAGGCATGGAGGCTAGGAAGGAATCTTGGCTGGCTGTTATCCTGCTACCCAAGAAAAGATCCATGCTACTATCATTTAAAATAAATAGTCTAGGTCAAGTAGTGACAAGCACTTACATTTTATATACATGGAAGTTTAATGAATTAGGAAGTGAACAACAGAGTTCCACAGTACAGAAAACAAATTCAAAACTGTCTCAGTCTGTGACTTACTTGGATTGCTGCTATTGGTCCCATTATTGGGTAGAGTTGAACCTGAACTGGCAGTACTTGTCACACTGGCTGTTGAATTTTCTTTTCCAGAGGGGCTCCCATTCTGCTTCTCAGAATCAGTGCTATCGTTTGGCTCCAGGAAGTGTGCAATATCTGCAACCTGGGTACTGGAAACTGAAGTAGGTTCTGTTTAAGATACACCAAGTAATCATTTATTTTTAGGACTGAAAGAATACACACATAAAAATAGTATTTTGAGCTAGGTGTTTAGTGTATGTCAGATTCAGTTGTGGGAAAGAGCAAACAGCAGCTATCTGAGACCAGACAAAGAGGACAGTTTTTGTCACCCTTACACAAGCGGGCATTTGTGAGTTGTGAGTCTTTGCTTCCTCACCCCAACTCCATGAGTTTTATTTTACACTGATTTCAGTTGAAGGTGATTGTGAACAGCAGGGGTGTCCAATCTTTTTGAATGTGGGGCCAGATCATGAACTTTTTATCACCCAGTGGACCAGCGAGCCATATTCAAAGGCCTCACAGGAAGCAGTATCACTTCACCCCCCCCCAAAACGAAAGTACAGTGTTTACTTTTGTTTCCCATCGCAGCAACTCGGGCCTCAGAAAACAGCTTGGAGGGCCTCATGTTGGACAAGCCTGGTGAACAGCAACAAGATAACGGACAATGGCTGGTTTGGGACCTGTGTGACATGAGTTGTTGGCCTAATAATCTCTATAGAGACAACTTCATCACAAAAACCACAATCAAATCTTGAAATGTTTTGACTGGTGCCTCAGAGAGGCCAGTAACTAAACAGCCATGGAAAATGAACTGCTTCATACCCCACCAAGTGGTAGCCTGCGTAAGTTAAGGCAGAAACTTAAAATTAACCAGGGGGAACGCTGTACTTCAGTTGAATGAAGCACAGGCAAAGGACTTCAGTGTCCAAATATAAATTCACCACCCTCTTCATGAACATATATTCATTTAACACCAATGGGCAATATCACTGGACCATATTGAAGCTGAAGGTTCAGATCTTCAGTCCTTCAGAGGTGGATGAGCAGGGCACCAGGCCCAGCTGCTGACTTAGATGAAGTACCATAATGGCAGCTCCTGGAGCACTTCTTGCTAGCACTCATAGGGCCACAGCTGTGGCCCACACTTGGGGAACTGGTGCACTACCAGCTGTTACAATCCTTGTGGGAGGACGAAAGTGCCTGACATTTCACAACATGCACCACTCTGCTCTCTGGTGCCCAGCACCCCCTATTGCTTAAGGCGCAAAAATTCCTAGCTATATTTCTGCATACTACCCATACCAGAAGTCTGATAGGGAGTGTGTGATGGGTATTGCATATTCAGGAAGAAATGCCCACTAGTGAACTATAAAAAGAAAACACAGGACTATATCATAGCAGTAACTCACAATAGTAAGTTTTGGGTTCTCTGGAATTTTTCCACACCTCAAGATTAGCCAAACTTATTAAAACAAAACTGTATTATCTACGGGGATTTCTCAGTTTTACAAATACATAATGCAAATCCAGAAACTCCAGTAATGAAAATTCTTTCAGAGGCTTTGAACAGTACTTCCTATAGCCAGCTTTCTTAGAATAAGTTAACTATTCCAAACCTGGCTGTGTTTGGTGAAGACGACCCTCGCATGAGCGTTAGGAAGGAAGGAGCAGTTCAGGATTAACAAGATGGGCATCAGCCATCCTGAGTAATATGATGAGAAACAGGAAAGGAGGAGCAAAAGGTAGAGTACTGGGATGGGCTACTATTTTCTGATGGAGAACTACACCCTCAGATTCCTGATGCTGACTGTGTCATCAAATAAGAGGCACAGGACAAGATGTTCTTGGTTATTATTTCCATAAAATATTTATTTTACTTATACCTAGAGGCAGCCAGGGTTTCACAGGCCTTAATCAATTCCTCAGCCACAACTGGTCCTTTTCAAGTTATGGGAACCACTGCTTCCTGACCCAACTCCCTGGCTTCCATTTCATGGTAGGATTTGGACAAGGGGACCGAGGGGCAGCAGTACGGACCTCCCAACACTCAGTTTTTCCCTGCACTATTGAGGGTGTTCCATAAGGTTGATACAACCAAAGGACTCTTGTTCTTGCTGTAAGCTGGCTATTGCAAGTGAGGGGAAATCACCTTTCTAAAGGCAGGCAAGGAAAGGCCTCCAGCCATCACCATCTGAATACGTGGTATAGTACAACGCATACGTCAGGTAAGTAGTTTTGACAGTACAGTAATTTGTTACATAACTATTTCAAATATAACAGTTACTGTAACTCCAAACTCTTATAGCTGTAGCTCAGCTCTTTGCAGTTATTCATGTTACAAACAAGGAGGTAAAAAGGAATGTAACTGAGTGGTGAATAGCCCAAAACTTGGTAAGCTGTGTTCATGACATGAATTTGAGGTCACACTGTAAAGTCATTCTTAAACTGTGTTCCCAGTCAGCTAAGCAAGTATTAATCCCACCCCCCTCCCCTCCTCCCCACACACACAGCTTTGGCTTAGCATGGTTTTTTTCTCTTTCAGAATCAAGCTGAATCCTTATCTGTGTTGCTTTCTGTTTGTTTTCTGGTGGTGTTGACAGCACTTAACATAACAGAGCTCTAAAAACAAAAGATACTATGAAGACTCCCCTCCTGGTCCAACCACAATTTCCTTACTTCTGGCTATGTTTCTGCAGAGCACTGTTTGAAACTTGAAGAGACCAGGGGCTGAGTATTTATTGAACTTACTGCTCGTAGATAAACTTGGGAATGACATTCCATCCCCATGAGCTACACTGCTTTCTGTTGATTCGTTAAGACTTAGGTTTGGTGGTGTTGTTGTAGTTATTGAGCTGCAATCTGAACCACCTAAATGGAAAGGAAGAAATAAAATAATAGACAAATAAGTATCTTTACATAATTCTTTGTATTTTACAATTTTGAATGTAGTTGCTTTGGTCATGACTAGTTAGGTTTCTTTCAGACTTCAATAACAAGAACATGTTGAATGACACTTGATCATATAACTTCTGTTTTTTACCATTGTGAATTTTGTCAAGGCACTTTTCCTTTGAATGGATTGATCAGAAGCAAATTGGGCAGAGCTGTGCTCTGGGTGGTGCTGCAATTTTAGTATCTCACAGCAACCCAGGCTGGTACCCCAGTCACACCCCCTACCCTCTACCCCCCCCTTAATCCTATTGGAATTGATTGCCTATTAATATAGCATACTTAATGCTATTTGCAAAAGCTAGCATGCGTGCTGCTCACACTTTTGATCAACGCTACGAGCTTTAGCTCTTTACTTATAAAGAAAGTTAAAGAGCAAACATTTGTAGCTATGCACCTATGAACCTTTCATCTGTACCATTAAGGGATTGACATTAGGATGTCTGGCATTCTGAGGTGCTGAGAGATTGTTTTAAGGGTGCTGCAAAATATTAATACTATTAGGTGTGTAAACCCCTATGCATGATTCACAACATAAACCCAGAGATTTCAAATAGGAAAGCATAGTGTCAAAAACAGTCTGACCTGTTGTGGTCTCTCTGAGATCTTTGCAACAGAAGACATGCTCTCTGTTGCTTTTTTGTAGGCAAAAACAGAGTAAAAGCTAAGAGCTGGCACTCTGCAAGGGATGCTCTGAGTCTAACAAGTTTAAGAACTATTGCACTAGAGCTAAAGCAGTAAATCCCCCTTCCAGCATAAACACAGCTACACTGGTATAACGGTTCTTAGTAGGGGTGCACCAACAGAGATTTTTGGGGCCTATACCGATAGCCGATATTTAAGGAGGCATATCAGCCAATATGAATCTCATTTCCAATACAGCTGCCTCCCGCTGATTAGTCTGGTGTGGTGGAAGGGGATGGGGGACGGAAGGGGTGTGGGGGGCAGAGAAACCCATACCCCCCATGATAAGGGAGGGGGCAGAGGCGTTTGCTGCCCAGGCAGGGCGAAGCGAGGGCGGGGCACCAAAACCACAGCTCATCGGGGGAAGGGGGCTCCCACCACTGCTTGCACCCCAGGAAGGCATGGGGGGGGCATGTGCCCTGGATCCGTGCAGGGCAGGGTGGGCTGCAGCCAGGGCTGTGCAGGGCTCTTCTTGACAGGGGCTGCATTTGGAGCAGGTGCCAGTGGCACTGGTAAGATGCTGCATCAACCCTCACAGGGTGCAAGCAGAAGGCGTCTTCCTCCCCACAAGCCACAGCTCCACCTCCCCTACACTGGGGCAACACCTGCCACTGTCCCATCCCTCACCATTGATCTGCCCCACCCTACCTCTTCCCTCCCTTCTCCCCTTCCCTTCCACCACACCAGACTTACCAGCTGGAAGCAGCTCTCCATGCTGCCAGCTGTACTCCTCACTGCCTGAGTGCTGCACTACAGCTGCACACAGCACAGGCATTTATCAACCAAATTATCAACCCCATCGGGGTCGATAGCTGATACAGCCAGTTTTCTTTATACCAGTACCAATCCAATATCAGACTGATGTATTGGCACACCTCTAGTTCTTACACCAGAACAGCTTATTCCTGTATGAGAAAAAGAATAAGCTGTGCTAATACAAGCAATATCTATACTGACAACCTGAAATGTGGATAAATAATTACATCCAGATAACTGTTAAATGAAAATCATGCTGTCACTGAAAAAAGTGACATTGGTACACAACTGTATGTAGAGCAAGCTTAAGAAAAGCCATCAAACATGCAAATGACATATTTGGGGGAAAGGAGGAAAGGCTGACAAAATTACTCCCTATCATTTCCCACCATGAAAATCAAGAGCTGGGCATTCAAATTTTTCCAGACTGATCATGAGAAACTGCTTTCTGAGCCTTTCTCTGTCAGATTCTCATTTATGTCACCTTTCTGGCATGTACAGCAGACATATGGCCAGATTTGTGTCAAGAAGCCTTAATATTAAAAACAGGAGTTCATCACTACAAATTGTAATTAAAATTTGCTTTAGTCTGCTACTTGTTCTTTATTTAGGGTTACTATTAAAGGGAAATTTGCTACAAAAGTTGACAAAATACTACAAAGCACTGTTTATTGGACTAGATGGATCTTTGGAAACATATCAATATTGCAAGCATAAATATTTTTATGTTCAGGTAGAAAATCCTTGCTTTACATTGCTTTCACTTTGCTTTTTAAATATAGATCACAGTCCAGCAAATTACTTTTAGCATATGATTTGGTATCACTGGCTTTTTAATGGAACTAATCCCAGGCTTAAAAACAGACTCAACGCCATGATTAAATTTTAAATGCATGCTTAAGTACTTCATTGGACTAAAGGCTATGGCTAGTGAACAAGTGGGTTTTAATAACGTTTCTGCGAGTACTTGTAATAGGAGGTTTAAAATGACTGATATACAGTGGTCCTGCATCATACGCATATTTTACTTACGCGAATTCAACTATACGCGGAGCACGGCTCCATGGCAGCAAGAGATTTTGGAGGCAGAGGCAGCCTCCTGCTGCCACAGAGCCATGCTTGCAACTGTGCAGCCGGTGGCAGTGGCCCAGCATGGGGATGGCTGCATGAGAACCTGGCAAACTCAAGGCCCCGCCCCCCCCACGACCCTGCCCCCCCCATACAGTCATTGTAATTTTCACTGTGCGCGATTTCAGCCTTACGAGCTGACCCCAGAACCTAACCCCCCATGTAAGATGCGAGACGACTATAAATTCAGTTTGCTCTATTATTTAGGAGTCACAGAAAAAGAAAACTTAAATACAAAACAAAATTATAAAAAAGCAACAGAATAGTACTTACAGGCATCTGAACTTTTGATCTGTGAAATGAAAATTTAAAAAAAGGTTAGTGTTGTAAGCACCAATCAGAAATAAAACAGTTTAAAATGAATAGCTGCTAAGAGGGCCTCATAGTTCTCAAAACCTTTGGATCTGAAAATGGATATGAAAAATCTACAGATATACAAAATAGTGACATGAGTACTGGCTTCATTCCAGGAGTGGGGGATAGCACAAACCAAGTTATTAAAAATAACTACTCAAAAGTTTTTATACTGCAGTCACAATATTTAATAATTCTAAGAAACAAGTTTCTTCAACTGATGTGGGGTTTAAATCTGCAAATAACAAGTTGTAAACAAAGCATATCATACCTCGGTCACAACATTAGAAAAAAAATGTACCTTAAAGAATCATCTTTCTTTGAAAGGCACCAGACTAGATCTTTTCTATCTATGATTTAAAGAAAGGGTAGAAGCCTCTGACCAACAGTACAGGCAGCCTTCTGTGTGCAATATGTGGCAGATCAGGGAGGGGGCAGATATCACAACAGTAGATGAGGCAAACCACAGGGCAGGAAATAAAAAGCAGAGCAGAGGACTGGACAAGGGAAGGAAATTCAGAAGTGGCACTTGGAGAACCTAAATTGTGACATACCTGCCAAAAAGGTTGGGTCCTCAGAGATTTAAAGGATTCCCCTTTCCTTCTTGTATTGTATACAAGGGGGAAGACTAGGGGCGTGCAAAGTGGGCCCTATTCGATTTGGATTCGGCCTGAATCAGGCACAGTGATTCAATTTTTTGATTCAGATCACTGTCCCTGATTCAAATTTGGCCAAATCCAAATCTGAAGATTCAATGCTAATTCAGAGAATCAGCGATTCGGACACAGACACTTTACAAAGCTTTTTCTACATACCTTGAGGTACCAGGGCAGCTCATGATTGCTGCAGTGGTGGGGCAGATGGAGCACCACAGAAGTGCAGGGAGGTCCCCCACATGCTTGGTGGCAATCATGCTCGGTGGCAATTGGGTCTGCCAGGGAGCACGCTGGGGGGGGCGCCCTGTCCCCCCCGCACCGATCTTGGTGATTGGCCGCAGGGGGGCCCTGGGTGCCCCCCACAGACCCAGGAAGCACCAGTCTGCTTTCTGGTCTACTTCCAGGTCTGCTGCCAAGTGCACTGGGGAGCCCCTGCGATTCTGTGGGACACTCCATGTGCCCCAGCATCGCAGCATTCATGAATCGCCTGCTACTAGAGGCATGTAGAAAAAATATTTAAAGCTGTCTCTATGTTTGAATCTCCCCAAATCAATTTGGAGTGTTCCAATTCGATTCGGAGAGATTAAAGGGTCCTCCGATTCAATCCAGATACAGAGATTTGGCCACCAAATTGGGCTAAATCTCCACCAAATCAAATCAGGGACCAAAGCTTCGCACAGCCCTAGGGAAGACCTTATTCCACTTACCAAGCAACAAAGGGATCTTAGAAGTTTAAGAACAATCCTATTCCACTCCGAGTCCTTCAAAAACCACTAATATGTTTATTTTTATAATGCACCATTATCATGGCTTTAATGCTACGTCAAAAAAACTGAAGAAGATGCCTTAAACTTTTGTATTGATTTTTCAGAGACTCAAGCAAGGTGAAATAAGATCATACTTACATGCAGAAGTCCCTTTAAGGGCCCAAGAGGTGGTATACAATATTACAATTAAATCTCATTGAAGCATACCTCACATGTTTGTTGATCCAAAGCTCACTGAGTTCAATGCTAAAATTGTAAACAATTTCTTTTATATCCCATTATCAGATTTTTTTTCAACCTTGTATTTAGCATTCAGCCAATGTCAGGGTTTGTAAAACATTATCACAGGGACTGTAACTAGCATACTGGCATTACCACAATGTTTTATTAGCAAGGGGAAATCCAAGGATGTGTTTTTAATATTACATGACTTCCTGCTTCCCTGATTTTTTTAAAATAAACTGCTTTAGTTCCTGCAGCCATTTAAGAACACCAGCTCAAATTATTCCTCTACCTACCAGAAGGTAGCAGCAAACAATACAAGTCAGAAAACACGCTGCAAAA